TTCTGAGCTTGTGCAATGGGAAATTCAGTCTGGTCCCCAAGATAGGCACACAGGGAAGTGATCTGTGGGCTGGAAATCACTCTGCAGATGCTAGGTGTGGCTTTATCTCGACCCTGAGGTGTGGATTTCTACGTGATGTGGGATCGGTGCTCTGCGTGCCTGCTGTGCTGTCTTCCCAGAGACCAGTGTCCATTTGGCCCTGTTTTCCTGGAAATCTGTCTCTATCTTTGTTCTTATCCTTCTCTGATTTATGAAGGAAGCAGAGGTCAATTTAAGTCCTCCTTTGGTGATGAATGGTGGACAGAGCCTCAAAAAATAGGAGACCTGTTCAGAGCAGTAGTGGGATGGGAGCAGAGCTGCACAAGGTTGGTCCTGGGGCTGTCTCATGCTGTCTGGGTGGGGCAGGTCCAAGCTGATCAGCCTGGTGCCCGCTCTTCCAGGGGCCTATGTTTCCTAAACTTCCTGTAGCTTCCTCATTTCTCTCACTTTTTCTTTTTCTTTTTGGTGGTACCAGGGATTAAATGCAGGACACTGTGCTTGCCAGGCAAGCACTTATTCCCCTGAGCTATCTCCCCAGCCCAGCGGGCTCATTTCTAAGGCTGGTGTAGAAGTCTGTCTCATCTTTTAGCTCTCACTGGTGGCTGTGAAGTCTGAGCTGCCTGAGCAGTGGAAACCACGTTGTCCCTTCTGTCCCAGGGCCCTGCAGACACGGTGCAGGGGCCAGCACTGTGCTCCTGTGCCTACCTCAAAAGCTCGTAGAGTAGTGGGTGCTCTGGAGCTTTACCTTGGATTTGGGGCCTGGCTGGCTCTCCAGGAACCTGCAGGCTCAGTCAGACAAGTGGCTTTGTAACCCAAAGTAGGCTCGGGAGAAGAGCCTGTCTGGGCAGATGTTGGGAGGACTTGACATGTCTCTGGCCCACTGTGCTATTGATTCCCCTTTACTGTTAAGCCATTCTTTGCTTTGGGGGGGCCCTTAGTTTGCTCATCTGCATAATGGGCATACACATTTCTGTAGGTTCCAGGACGAGTGGGGCAGCTTTGACTAGAACTTACCCATGCAGCTCGTCACACAGAGAACCGACTTAGCTCTGTTGCCATTGAGCTGAGTGAATTTTGTGGAGCTCCGTGCCCTCCATGAGCTTCATGGGGATAACAGTGGCAATATCTCAGTGGCATGTATGTGGCTGAAATGAGCTGAGTGATTGGACTGGTGCTGGCCCATAGTGAACGCACAGAAACGGTGCTGCCTCAGGCTGTCTTGTGGCTTGCCCTTGCCTGGCTGCCAAGTCAGCAAGGTCTGGGAGGAAGCCGGGCTGTGTGTGCTAGGGGAGGGAGGCTGGGCCTCCTTGCATAGAGCTTCCCCTTTCTTGTGGCTGGTAATCCTGCCCAGAGAGCCCATGGCCCCCTTGCTGCCCACTCCCACATAAGAGCGGAAGCAAGGGGCCAGAGTCACAGGGCCCAAATCGTGACAGCTGTGGTCACAGTGCGCATGGACATGTGGAGCCCTGTGGCAAGTGTTTCGATTTACTGAGAGCCTTGTGGGGCTGGTGGCCACCACCCCCTATGACAGAGGAGAACACTGAGGCTGAGACAGGTTGAACAACTTGCTTGAGGTCACACAGCTTCAAAACTGCAGGAGACTGATGGTGGAACAGGGGAGAGTGGAGGAGGCTTAGCAGGTTGTCACACTCCTCCACTGCTCAGAGTGGATGGAAAACCATGTGGAGCCTCCCTCACCCTGGGGAGAAAGGGGCCTCTTCAAGCTGGGTTCCAGTGACCTACATAAAGTCCAGGCTACTGCTGCTCCTTGGCCAGGTATCCAAATGTCCTTGTGACCACCAAGGTCCAGAATTCCAGGTGGCCAAAAAAAAAAAAAAAAGATTAGACTCATTTTGGGCCTGGGGAGATGGCTCAGTGGAATAAGCACTTCCCTGGCAAGTGCAAGGGCCTGAGTTCAATCCCTGGTTCTGGAAAAAAAAAAAAAAAGAACAAGACCAGAATTCCAGGTGGCACAATCAGCCTCAGGTGGCAGCAGCCGAGGACTTGAAGTGCACCCCCATTCTGGCTGGCAGGCTGCCCTGTTGACTTTCAGATGTTTGGGATGAGGCCTGAGTGTTTTTTGACTCTAGGAACATCTGGTCTAGACGGCCTCATACCAGAAGCGTCTCCACAGACTGTGAGCCCCTGCCTGAGAGCACCCGTCAGCCCCACTCCCCCTAGCGTGGCTGCAGGTGTGCGGGCAGTGTCCATGTGGGTGGTGGGACGTACTTCAGCCTGGTATGCCTGTTACTACACCTCTTTCTCTCAGATATGAAGATGCATCAGCTTGCACTCCAGAGATGGGCTGGCCATCAGCTTCTCTAATTGATGAAATAGAAAGTCATTTGCAGAAGGGATTCACCCATGTGACGTCCACCCTAGCAGCACTGGCCAAAGCTGTCAGCTGTATTTGGCTCATTCTGATGTCTCTGCACCAGTGCGGCGCTTGGCCTGGAGGAGGTCTCAGAGCTGGTGGAGGGAGGAGGCTCAGTAGCCAGGTGGGCTGTTTACCCTCATCTTCACTCTCATTTATCAAGCTTTTCTTCTTGGATAGGACGAGAGAGAGAGAAGGACACACACACACACACACACTCACACACACAGAGGGAGGGAGGAAGGGAGAGAGAAAGAGAGAGAGAAAGAAAGAGAGAGATAGAGACAGAGAGAGAGAGAGAGAGACAGAGACAGAAACAGAGACAGAGAGACAGAGAGACAGAGAGACAGAGAGACAGAGAGAGAGAGAGAGGTGTTATGTGTTGTTGGTTCTTAGGTACCCAGGGTTGGACTGGCCTCCAGCATAGCTGGATCTGAGAGCTTATATGGTATCTTTAAAACTGGACCTTTCTCATGTCTACTGTCTGTTCCTCCTGTCTTCCTGGGAGTTGGCTTCATTTTGCTGCCTTCTTCACAGCCCTAGATTTGGGTCCTGTGGTTTCACAACAGTGGAAGGAGAGAAGGGGGACATTTGAGCACAGTCTTACTGGTGTGCGTGTTTCTTCTGAACCTGTCACTGGGACCAAGACAGTGAACGCCTGAGTGGGCCAGGCAGCCCCAGTCAGGCATCACTCCTGTCCTCGGGTGACTTGAGTGCTCAGGTGTTTCTGTCCAAGGGAGGCCGAAGGGAGACAGAGCAGGCAGGAGCGCAGGTGCCCACAGGGCCTGCTTGGGATCTTCTGTGTGTGGGATGGGTACAGTGGAGAGATCCCTGCTGGCTTTCAGCGGTGGCTGTCCAGGGGGAAGCCCGTGATCTGCAGCATTCCGGGCAGTGAATCTCACAATGCTTCCTTACGTGGGGGCGGGGCAGGTGGAGCTACAGCCTTAACTGAGGACCCCTAAGTTCCTGCAGGGGCCCAGCTTTTGAGGAGAGCTGGCTCTCTTACCCAGGGTCAGGCCCCTGGAGCCCTCCCTCAGTTTCTCTAGAATGCCTCGTGAACACCTGTAGTATCTACTGTTTTGAGGGGAGTCAAGAAAATAGAGATCCTCTGTCTACTACATGGGCCTGGCCCCGGCCCCTCAGCACAGAGCCTCTGATTCCCGGAGTGGCAGAGGTCTCAGTCAGGACACAGCAGAGGAGGTGGGCCAGAGAGAGAGGCCAGCGGCAGCAGCTCCAGCACCTTTATTTCCCTCTCCACTGGGGACTGTGCAGGGGCCTGGTGCCTCTCAGTGTCCACTTACCCTGTAGTCTGCTATGGTGTCTGTGCCATGTTTGTGCGTGTAGATACATGCGTGAAGGCACCTCACAGGCATGAGTGTAGTCTGAGTGTGTGCACATGTGCACATGGGCACGTGCATGTGTCTGATTGGGTATCTCTAAGCAGAGGAGAGGAGTGTGCTTGTGAGTTCGCAGAAGCTGCACCCTGTGTCAGGTGTCTGACTCATATGCGACCATGCATGTGTCCGTGTGTGCTGTGCATCCTGGGCGCATGTGTGCACATGTGCTCATGCATGTGCATGATACTTATGTCCATCCATGAGGCTGTAGTATCTGGAGTGTGCGGCACCATTTTGAAGCAGTATTCAGAGGTCCTTCCCAGCAGCCCTAGGGAGTGGCCTGAGGGGCCGCAGCCCTCAGGGACCCTGGGGCTGCCAGCTGGGTCTCTCTCTCCTTCCCAGGCAGGGCTGTGAGAATCTGTTGGCCTTCTTTGGGTTCCGAGAAGCCAGGACTGTGTGGTGCAATCTGCCAGCTGAACCCCTTCCGGAGCTGTGGGTTCCTCTGGGCGTGGGGAAGTTACCCTTTGTGACCTCCCTGGCTGCTTTGGTGCCTCCCGGAGTGCAGGACACACCTCCTGGCCATGCAGCCGCACCCACAGGAAGCTTGGGTTTGGGGGGCAGGCGTGGAGGAAGGTGCCACGCCTGGTGGCCCGCCCTGCACTGTGGTCCTCTGGATTGCTGCTCCACAGCCCTCTTGCTAACAGCCCTGGGGACATCACTGGATCCTGGTACCCTTTGGCCACCACCATGTCTGGCAGGAAGCGCAGCGTCTCCTTTGGGGGCTTCGGATGGTGGGTAGCAGGTGAAAGGGTGCTTGACAGGTTGGCAGTGAACTTGGAGGTGGAGCCTTGTGAAGTGCCTTTGCTGTCTATGAGGACAGAGGGGCCCAGGTTGTGCCTGAGATCTAGGTAGGTCTACAACAGACATTTTCAGATAGACATGGAGGATCTAAGTGGGGGCATCAAAAACTGCAAGCATCTCGTCACTGTCCCAGGGCACAATGTGCAAGGGCTGCAGAGGTTGGAGGTAGCCACCAGTGTGGGTGTATTATTGGAATTGAGTGTGTCCCTTTGTTAACATGTCCTCATATATGTGCATGCATGCCTGTGATTTTTTATTTATACACGTGTGTGTGTGTGCGTGTGTGTGCGTGCGCACAGATGTGCATGTGTGACTGCAGCTGACAGTGCATGGCCATGAGTGAAGCAGGTACCTGGCTGAGTGGAGGGAAAGGGTGGAGCCTTGGTGAGGGACCATGTATACATTCTCTGTTTCTGGGCAGGTGCCTGCCTGCACGAGGAGCTCATGCATCAATGTACGCACCTGTATGTGCTGTTGTTGTGACCCCATGGGATCACAGAGTGACCTCTGGGCGCCTCCTCTCTGGGGGTGAGTTGAGAGGAAGGGCAGGTCTGTCTCCAAAGCTTACTCCCCTCCCTGCCCCACCTTCTCTCTGTCTGGCCTGAGTATCTGGGTCTGCATCCAGCCTCTTGTTTGTACTTCTAGGTCACCCATTTGCCTCTAAACTTCTATTAGGACAAAGGAGGTGCTCTGTCCTTCCGTGGAGTCAGAAAGTGGGGATTCTGAGGTCAAAGTCTTTGTCTCCGCTTACCAACTGCAGACAACTTTGCCTCCACTGGGGGACAGAGCCTGGTGGTTTTGTTATCAGTTTCCTTTCAGCATCTGGCCTGGGGAGTTTTCAAACTAGAGGAGGGCGGGCCAAAGTGGGGTGGCTTGAAGAGCAAGCGAGGGGGGTGGCACAAGAGGCTGGGAAGGGCTGGGCTTGTTCTTCTGGCTAAGTACTTGCTTCCATATGTGGGCAGCTTTTTATTTTCCTTTCCCCCTCTTTGAAAGCACTTTACCATTCATCCTCCAGCAGGAAGGGATTATGGCGTCTGTGTGTGGCAGATGGGACAGGAGGATGAGACCATGCTGGGGTGGGGTGCGGTGGCAGTGCCTGGTCACAGTGCTCCCTGATGCTGGAGCCCTGATGCTGGAGCCCAAGGCAGCTGTCCTGATGGTGGGGTCTGTGTTTGCATCACACAGTCTGCCTCCTACTCTGGAATGGATGGATGTTTGAGGCTCACTGGGATTCCTGCAAGGCAGGACCCAGGCAGTGGGATTGTCTCTTCCTGGACTCTTTCTTTCTCTGAGAGTCATGGAGCCCACAGAGAGACTGTCATTAGAAGGCTCCCTCTGCAAGGCTTAGGTCTCAGTCTGGTTTTCTCTTAGCTAGTAACGCTGTGCATTAAGGCCCACTGCTCCAGGGTCCTGGTACAAAGTGGAACTGTGGTCTGAACGGGACCAGACAAAGGCATAATATAAATGCTGCCTCATTTAGGGCTGCCTTGTAGGCAAAGAAGGAGGTCGGGGAAGGGATCTAGTGTGTCCAAGCATGTGCTAACCACAGTTTGCCGCACTGGGTTCCAGAAGGACAGGACCTGCTCCTCTTATTCACTGCTCTCTTGGACCCTTGCCCTGTCACATGCGCTCAGAAGATGCTTGTAGGCTAAGTGAGGAGGCAAGTGGGGCAGCAGACAGCAGGCAAGTGGGGTCTAAGGGATGGCAGGGCCTTCTGGTGTGGACTGTGGGACTGCAGTGTGGGTATCCTCTGGCGATCGCTGTCAGCTGGGAGGGGATATCACAGATGGTGGGGACTGAATTAGCAGGCTTGGTCCCTCCAGTCAGTGAAGACTCTCTGGGGTGGTGTTTTATTTTTATTTATTTATTTATGTATGTATTTTTAAAAAATAAATAAAATGTTTTACTTAGAAACATTCAGAATACTAACAAAAACAGTTACAGTATTTTTTTTTTTTGCAATTATAAAGTGGTATTTAGTTAACAGAACAACAATTATTTCATAGAAGCTGCATCAGAAACAACTGAAGATAAAAAATTACTGTCCCACATATAATTAATTTGTGCTGTGCACCAATAAAAACCTGCTTTAAATTTCCATGCCAATTTACAACCCTCACACTGTACCAGGCAAGGTTAGTGGCTA